GGGGGGGGGTGGAGTGGCTAAAGATGCATTTTCTTCCAGCAATGAGATGGAAGAAGACGCCTCGGTAAAACTGTGGGCTACACCCCTCAGGTAGGGAAGCCCAGTCCAACTGCCATGGCTTCCCCCTTCCAGGACTTCACAACCGCAAAGAAAGTGGGTTTAGCCAGGAGAGCAGAGGGCTGGAGAGCAAAGAAGCAAGGCTCTGGGCTCACACGGAAGTGCTTCTGGGGCTCCACGGAGGAGACAAGCTCTCCTGTGCTGCTTGACATCTCTGGGTCCCAGAGCGCCTGCACTGCACTCCCGGGGCAGACCAAGCCCCATGCTTGACGCAAAGACCCACAGATCTCAGTGCAGGCTCTGCAGTGCAGGGGATGCCATAGACTTCTTGGCCAGCGACTTGAACCTGGACCTCCGAAGTCCGGCACCCTAATCACAGCAGCACTGGTCTCCACATTAAAACTGATTATTCTATATGGCCTTAATAATAAACTTGTAACTAACAACTTCAGTCTGGACTCAGCTATTTACCTGAGATGCTAAAAGTTAAAATGTAACTTATTTGAAAGACCATGTGGAATTCATTAAAAGTGTGCAAAGGGACCCTGGTATTGAGTCAGGCCGTGGGCCCACCTAGCCTGGTATTGTTGATACGGCCTGGTTGCAGCTGTCCAGCGATTGGGGAAAGTTTCCTTTCTACCTGAAGCCTACCTGGAGATTCAGGGATTGAGCAGGGGACCTTCTGGGTGCAGAGCAGGTGCTGGGTCACGGAGATGCGTCCCTTCCCGGGGACGGTGGCCCAAGTGTCAAGTGTCACACGGAAAAGCTGTGTGTGCCAGCTGCTGCAGGAGGGCCAAGCTTCACTTGTGACGTGTGCCAGCCACTGATGTGGAACTGAGACCTGATGTGGTGCTGTAGAATTTTGCTCTCCCCAGCCTGGCATGTTAGACCACAATCCCCACACTGCCCAGGCCAATGATAGGAGTTGCAGTCAGCTCAGGATGGGCACCAAGCTGAGGAGAGCAGAGACCAGGGTTCAAAAATCCAGCCAGGGTGGTTGTCCTCACAAAAATGGGGCAAGGGGGAGAACCATACACACTGTTACATAATTCTTGAAGGGAAACCGGGATATAATCGCAATTAATAAGACCCTGAGCAAGAAAAGAGGCATTTACACCCGAAAGGTGCCAAATGGAATATGCTTTAAAGAGTATGTCCTTCTCAGCTGTGGCCTCCCCGAAGAAGTTTCACTGCTTAAATTGGTCCAAAGCAATGGTTCAATTGCAAAGGGCTTTACATACCATCTGCCTCTCTGTGGAGCCTCTTTACCAACGGTGACAGCAATGCAGGTTGGGAAACGTCCGCTGAGCACACAAGTTTTGCCTCCTCCCAAACATGGCAAAAATGCGGCCAGCTTTTACAGTATCTTAACCAGAGATTCTTCTAAGTAGGTACAGTTATCTCCAACACTATCTTTTATCAGACAAAGAACAGAAAACCTTGGGCTGCATCTAGCCATTAATTGGGCTGAATCCAGTCCCACCAAAATCAAAGGGGGAAGTAATTTGGGACTAATTTAAACCTTACTGATCTCAGCATGTTTACTTTAGGTAGAGCTAAGTCTGGGTTCAACCCATATTAGTGGGATGAGAAAACGTTGCATCGATTGAATGAAAAATAAGCATACAGGAAGTCTTCGACAACATTACCGTGCTCATCTTGCCTCCAAAATCAAGCCAGTTTTTGATCCTTAACATCGATCGGTCTGCAGGTTTTCAGTAATTCATCCCAGCACAGGGATAAATACATATTTTAAAGGGGGACCATTCCGCTTTTTAAACATTTCTAAAGGCTCTGCATCTATAGATATTTGAGTAAGCTGTATATAAAAATAGGTCATGCTCTAACTCATAATCCTTCATTACCATCACATTGTGTATTATCTACCAGACATTTCCCCTAAGGTATCTTTCCCCCCTGTCCAGCAGCTATATTTCTTCAATCCGTTCCATATTTCTTTTATATACAAATATCAGTTAAAAGCTTAAAAAAAAAACTACACACATCTCCTTTCGTCAACTCCTGCATCTGCCACAAGAACCAAAATGCCAGCCGGATGGCACTTGGTCCCATCTCTTATGAGAAATGGCAAGCTATCAGGGAGCCTCATCATGGAATGAAAGAACAAGAGACCTACCTTTGTTCTGCTCTGCGCTGGCTGCAACAGAACTTTGCAGCTCCCGACACAAGTCAGCCAGCAAAGAAAAAAATACTCCCCGCCTCAATTTAGAAAACAAAACTGCAACTACTCAGGGCGCTAAAAGCATCACTGAGAGAGCAGATGGGGCCATGTGGCAATACTGTCAGAGCGCTGCGGAGAGGCATCTGTGAACGTCCTCCAGGCAGCACAAGGTGGACGTACTTTTTCCAGCAGGAAGTGCACACCTTCTGATGGGTGTTGAGGAGCAGCCATTTCTGAGGGCTGCATCAAGCAACATGTGCGCAGCCCTCGTAGTCTGGTTTGGAGATGGATGGTGACTTGTTTCTATATTTAGGGCAGTGTTTTTCCTTTAGATTGCGTTTGGAGGGTTGAGTTGCGGCTGGTTTTGTGGTTGGAAACAGCCTTGTTTTCCATTCTTCATTGCCATCTTGGGAAGCCACGATGGCAGAGAAGTATTATTGTGACTGGGTACCTTTTAAAAGCACCACTGCAGCCCCTGGAAAGTAATTGCAAAAGCGGTCAAGGGCTTGTGACTGGGCGCCTTGACTTTCCTATCAGCAGAAAGAGGTGGTAGAGATGCTGCTTTGATAGGATTAATGGGGTGAAGTTAAAGGAGGGGGAGAAAATTGTTTTTTTTCACTCATTAGTGTAATCTTACCCACTATAGGAACTAAAATTCTCTTAGCCTTTGAAATTTGCACTTCTCCGAATTTTGCAATGTAGTTTGCATATTAATGCGCCTATATCAGCAAAAACTACACCTCAAATGTATATATTTGTGAACATGGTTCAGGAACTTTTAAATGTTGATATCAAGCATATAAAATGTACGTATTCAGAGGAGCGTGCACAAAAGTATGTATACATTTTAACACAATTTTTAGAGTGTCAAAATTTGGCATGAATTGAAGACTGGTAAAAGGAGAAACCATAATTGACAGAGTCATCCATTCCCAGTTGAAGTATTAACCGCAGCCATATTTCACAGGCCACAAAGAGACTGCACCCCATTTTGAAGGACAGGTAAATTTCAATTTTCCATCATCCTGTTTACAAATCAGCTGAGGGTTAATCCCTGCCATCATTTTAAACAGGAACCTCAGGAAGTTCAGCATCTCTGGCTGGATTCCTGAAGATATTCCTCTGGGAAGAAGGCTACCTGGCCGCATGCCTCCAAGGAGCAGAGATCTGCCCAGTGGGCAGAGGTGCTAATTTGCGACTGGAGAACTGTGGGTCCAGGAATGGAAGGGAGCTGGCTGGCTGGCAGGTCCCTTCAACACTGCAAGGCCATTTAGTCTGGTCCAGCAGCTGTGAAGCTATCAAGAAAAAGATTTTCTGGCCCAAGTAAATCCTGCTTTGGTTACACCCAGGTTCGGTCAGTCCATGGTTCAGAAATTGCAACTAATGTGGAACAGAGCGGGTTTTCAGACCCAGGCATTTGGACTCTTATTCTGCATTGTTTACACTGGCTGCTTGTTAATTTCTGGGCCCAATCCACCTGCTTATATATGGTTTAGAACAACATTATCTGAAGGACTTCCTATGCCTATTCCCAGGCATTCTGATTAGTGACAGAGGCCATCCTCTCTGTTCTACTCACAGAGCTTTCTCAGTAGTAGCCCCACACCTTTGGAACGACTTTCATAGAACCTACTTCCATTTGGCCTCATGACTGCTGGCTACAAACACACACACGCACATGTGTTCACACACACACCAGCTCCTGATAACAGCAATGCCAGGGAAATCCACAGCAGCTTCCGGTGCATTTGGATTTCTATGACACTGACCTGTGCAGATTGTGTGGATATCAGTCTGTATTTGGGGGCGGCGGGGGGGATTTGTAAGAATTTGCACCTGCACAAATGTGCGTTGACTCTAATGTTCATCAGGAATAAAATTTTCCTGATGACCAGATAGCAAGAGTCAGTTGTGTAGTGTTCTACCAGAGGGACTCGAAAGGGATAAAATTATAAAATAAACCTCTGTCAAGAATTTGTATAGATAAGCAAATGTTTCTACACCAAATCCCCCTTCTACAGCTCATGTTAAGCACAGACATCATTGCTAAAGAGACATTTTGCATAATGTTTAATCTGGCCCTGAAATGCTCTCCCCTTCCCTCTCCCTCTTAATCCACCCCCTTGCAGTGGCCATCTCCATTTTCCACAGGCTGATGCTTGCCTCAGGACAAGGTGAAGGGAAGAGCATGGCTCCCCCTCCATGCTCTTCCCAGGCTCGGAAAGGGCAGGCTTGCAGTGAGGAAGAGGAGGGGCCAGGAAGTTGTGGGGTTCAGCTGCGTGCCCCTCCCCACAGAAGCACATGAGTCTCATCCGCAGGGAAGTTGCTTATGAATCGCCCCCTAGTGAGCCGCACCGAGGCTTCGGCGAATGGGGCGGCATGGAAGTCTCCTAAATAAATAGATAAATAAATAAATAGAAGCAGCCAATGCGCGGCCAGGAAGGACGGCCCAGATGCATGCGACTAATTCATATGCATGGATGCAGAACCTGGAAATGACGACTCGAATCTGAAGAGAAATGCAAGGTGCTGCACCCCAGTGAGGACCATTGTGATCAGGCATCAGATCGGTGTCTCCAAGGCCTGGCTGGTCCTTCTGAGGATTCGTTCTCATTAAACCTGACTTGGACTGCACAGAAGCTTTCCAATAAAGGACAGTCTCAAATGGAGGACCATCCTCAAGCAATCTGTCAAATGGAGGACTGCCCGAAAGCCCACCGATGGGCTGTTCCCAAACATGGATGCCACATAAGATGCTGCACCCGAGTTGTCCAGCTTGGAGTTTTGTCTCGAAAGATGAAATTGTAAAATGTTGTCAATGATCTGGGGAAGGGGAGCCCCATTATTCTTCTGGGTGGTGTTGGGTATGATGCAATATTAGAAGCACACTTTGAGTAGAAACACAGCTTTCCTGAGGAGGTGTGAATCATATAACAAAATTAGCACCTTGAGTAGGCGAGGACTTGAATGCTTCGCACAGCTCCTTGCTGCAAGCCCTTGATTTGCAAACACAGACTAAATAGTGTGGCACGGTCAAAGCTGAAAGAGCAGAATGAGAGCTATATGTGCTGCAACTGCAAAATTGGCAGGGTCTGGTGAGGTCAGCTTTTCAGGGTGCAGAATTTGGGCTGCGGACTGTTTTAGTGAGCTCCATTGAATTCAGTGGGCCATACTTCAGGGTGGATTGGCTTGGAAGACACTGGAATTCCTTGGTAAGGCTGATCGTCCCTTGCATATTAGGCTGAAACCTGGAGTGGATACACTGCCCCAGCCACCACTGCCTTTGTGTGAGTCAGTATTAGCCGGGCTATTAAGTGCACTTGCTGCTTTTGTGTGTGTGAGAGAGAGAAAGATGGGGCGGGGCTGCTGCTGCTGTCCCGGAGCTGGAAAGTATCATTTTCAAGATGTGGCATGATGCTGTTATTCATTCCTGAGAACAGAAGCAAGCCTCATGAGGCTGGAGAGTGGCGAGCTGAGACTTCTCATTCAAAACTCTCTGGCTCCAGCCCCATCTGTTAGCCTGATTTGGCCTTTCTTGAAAGAACAAGAACAGAAGCCGACACAGACCTCATGTCTGCCGACTCCACATTTATGAACAAGGATGAGACATCTGAAAATGTATGATTTTCTGCAGTGAGGGGCAATACTGCACTGGTTTCCCTGTTTTGCTTGGCCTGCCTGCCAGATGGACCTCCTTCTGGAAACCGCTGTGCCACAACATGTCCTGGGATGCAGGAAGGACAAGTCAGTGGAGCTTGCAGTCCAGGTGTGCTGGTCACAGGCGCATGGCTAACAGCCAGCTTGCACCTGCGTGGCCAAGTGATGCTTCAGGCAGGTGGTCCTACCAGAAAGTTGGTCCGGCAGCAAACATTCTCAGTGTCCAGCCTTCTCTAGCCAACTCCACTCCAGACACAAATGAAAATGAGAAGCAGTGCTCCCCAAAGCACTTGTGCTGGGAGCAATTTGCACTAAGCTTGTGGCTTGCATGAAACATTCATTTCAGCTCATCATTGGCCAGAATGTTCCCACTTTGTTGTGAGCACACGCTCTCTTTTCTTTTCCTGCAGATCAAAACAAAACACTTATAAAATGCATTCCTTTACTGAAGATGAACAGGTTTTGCAGAGTTACAGGGTGTTTTCTACAACAGCTGTTAACAAGCTGCATGAATCAGAGTAACTATCCTTACAAGCTGTGGAAATACCTTCTGCCCGTGTGAAGAGCTGTTTCCAGACTGGCATGGCCCCCTCCTTTCCTCCTTTTCATGATGGCCGTGGATCAAACAGCATCCTGGAGACACTGCACTGGGTCTAGGCTCTTCACGCTCCTTCCCTCTTGTTCAGCAGTGTTTCCCTGTGCCCAAGAAAAGTCAGCTTGCAGTTGCAGCCCAACTTCTCCACTTTGCAGAGACACCTTGCAGCTCTCCCCCCCCCCCCCCCCCCCCCCCCCCCCCCCCTTCCCCCCCCC